GTCCCTGACGGGATTCGAACCCACGACCTTACGGTTGCGAGTCCGAGAGCCTAACCACTAGGCCACCGACGCCACTACATCATGTAGGTTTTGTTTAGAATTTAAAAAAAATATCCATGGTAAGTTTATTTGAAAAGGACTGCTGAACAAGTAGTTTTTCTTCAGAACTTTTGAGTTGAAATACAAATATTTCTGCATCTGTAGCCTACATAAGAGCATAATAGATGTCTATATAGTGCGCACGTGATTGTTGTTTTCGATCCTATGTTCGTGGCATAGTACAATAAATATTCAGTACATGTATCAGTGTCAAACCGATTGATTTGTAAAAATCTCTCTTTCGCTTCATTAAGTAGTTTGAATCTTGTGTGTGCCAGTAATCTGAACTTTTTTTTATTTAGCGAAAGCTTATTCTTTTTATGCCCTTTTGTTGTTTGAGGCTTCCTGATTCTTTCAATTATTGTTTAACATATTGTTGCAGGGTACTATTGGTACGACAGCAGGTCCTACTTCTTTTCTGTTGTTTCTGTCGGTCTTAATTGTTTTCATGTTTTTCAGTGCCTTATTGTGACCAGGCAAAAGCTAAGATGGAATATCCAAGGGAGGAGGAAGAGAGGAAAGCCAAAAAAAGAGATCCGGAGGCAGACCTTAGATAAATGGGAGGAAAGCTGGTTGGGGGTAGAGAAGATCGCCCACAACAGAGACCCATGGAGTCGTGGAGAGCCTGCTACCCAATACCAGGGTGACAGAGACAGGGAAGAAATACCGGTGTGCATGGTCAAGGTTAGGTGCTTCGCTGTCGCAAGCAGGAGATCGGTGTTCGATTCCAGAGTTGGGAGAATTTTTTTTCAAGTATCTCGATCTTTCTGCTCCGATGCTGTAACCATCTCAGCCGTGTTGGTCTTGACATGCATGGTCGGAAACCCGTTGCTAGATTATCTAAATTGTGTCTATAGGGGCGTAAAACTGCTACATAAAAGGAGACTAAAGAACACTCCAAAAGAGCGAAAGTTCCAACAGGCCTGGCTATGAACCTGAACCTTGGCCATCCATAACATAGTCTGGCATTACATTATTTAAGTTAGTGGTTCACCTTTAACGAATCAACTTGAAAGGTACAAGTGTACAATGAATTATGAAGTAATTGTACAGTGGTTTTTTAACCTATGAGACTTGCAAGGTCTTCTGTTCAAAATAGAATTGGTAGTTTGAATTTTATGTACATGAAACAAAAATAAAACTGAGAGACACAAAATATTTTTGTAAAGCAAGTTTATTTCTTTTATTATATAAAAAAGCAGAAGTACAAATAGTGCTGCCTGTTTGTGTTAACCCCCCCTCCCTCTCTCTCTCTCTCTCTCTCTCTTTCGCACTCTTTGGTCTTCTTCGCCCTTCCAGACTTATTATAATATGAGATATTTATCACAGAGCCCTTGGCCAAAGAAAGTTATCACAAAATCTCAACATGTCATAGTTATATTATTCCTGATTGCTGACAAGATATTGTCTGTGTCCAAACTAACAGGAACAACATTAAAATGCAAGTATGTGAAAGAAAACAAATGCATGAATAACTTGACATAATAGTTTGACAATATTGATCTCAAATGGATTCAGTTTGAGACAAAAGAACAGATATGAGATTTATACTACAGGACAGTCAGCTTGGTTCACAGATTTGAAGTATCTCGTTCTGACGCCAGCAGCTTGGAGGTTTCTTTTGATGGTGTTCAGGTTAGCAGGGGCTACCCCTCTGTCTCTGGTCAGGATCCATGCAAACTCTGGAATAAAAGAAAAAGGAACGAAAAAAGAATTAGTAAAGCTTTATGCATAAAACATGTAGGATTTTGTCTATTTTTCCTACAAGCCAAATATTTCACTTAACAGTATTAATGGTACTACACGTAATTTGAGTGGTTTTTCTTAACAGACTCGATATGTACTAACCTTGCTATTTTAAGAGGGATGCAAACCTGGAGAGACTGGTAAAAGTGTTTCCGAAAATATCTTTGAGTTTGATAAAACATGATAAGACTACAGAGCAAAAATAGAAAAAGTTATAATCCATGCCGACATAGTATTCATTGCTTCCCACAACCATCTCATCACAAGTTGTATCTTAGGTATAAATGTCTACATTGCTTTAAAAGGAGTGTAAAATTCAAATTCAAACAAACAAGCTGTTGTCTACTTACGGATATTCACAGGCAGTCCAGGCAGGTCGAAACAAGAGAAGACAACCGCGTAGCTGTCGTAGTCCGTCTCCACGATGTAGTAGTTGGGCTCATTGCCACCAATACCGTCAACTGGAACAGTGCAGGGAAAACTTGGTTATACACGCTATGCTATGATGCTATGGTAGAAGCTTAGTGCCTCTAGAAACTTCATATTGTGGTCTTTCAAGAGGAAGGATAACTGAATCAGATACGTAGTATATACTCATATTTTTTTTATTTATTGGAGAGAGTACAACATGTGGAGGGACTTGAAAATCCTCCCAACGTCCCAAGTTTAAGAACGCCCTACTAGGGATTTGAACCAAAGTGATCCGCACCGAAGTTAAGTAAAGTGCTAGCTGAGCTACACTATGTATCAGCACGTCTGCTTCTCTACGAATTCTTCCTTTTAGTAAACATGTTTCATCCACTGACACTAACCAAAGGAATAGAGTCTGAATGCTGTATTTTGTTGTTTTTTTTCGTCTAGGAAATTCCCCACCTAATTTTTGATAAAGAATGCTTTCATGACTTGTGTTTAAAAGTCTATTCATAATCCATGAATATTTTTTATGTCTTTTATAGTTTCTATACATTGATTTTTTGGTCGATAAAACTTTCCATGTTTTCAACAAAAAAGATAGAAAAGAAGACAATAAGTGCCCTGTAAATCACCGGCAGAAAAGGTGAGAAAAAAACTTACATTGTGAAAAGGACACTTTGAGCTCGGCAGGGGAAGCAGGGTCCGGTGTGGTAGCGTCACCGTTGATGGAGGCCGGCCGGCTGAAGATAGTACGTCCGAACCTGGTGGGGTGGGACAGAGGGGACTGGTGAGTTTGTTCTTTCTTAACCTGACTAAATGGGAGTATTGTGTGTGCAAGTGTCTGTACTCTGTACGTGTGCAATAATGGTACATGTACTTGCATTGGAGTTGACAAAACTGTAGTGGTATACTAATGACTGAGACAACAACCATTTGTAATTATGATAAGTGTTGCATGTACAAATACGTTTTTGTTCTTCAAGTGCCAGATCTGACTGAGACAAACATCCTTAAAATTATTTATAGTCGGCTTCTCATTTTTTAAATCTCGGTTGCGCTAAAAAAAAAAAAGAAGAAGAAAAAGACATAACACCCAATCTTTCCCGCCACCAATCTCTCCGGGTTCTTTCAGTATGCTCCTTTTGATTATTGGTTTTCCTATGCCTATTTCTCTTAATTTTTTTCCACAATTTTGCGGATGTCCGGCCCATATATGTATTGCCTTACTTGGCTAACTTCTCCTATAAATCCTTCTTTTTTCCTAATCTACATTGTATTTTCTACAGGACTCTACTCACAGCTTAAAGGTCCTGGTGCCGGCGTTGAGAACACTGATGGTCTGGTCAGGGTTCAGGCCGTACTCGGCTCTCACACAGTCCATGCCCGCCTCGAACCAGTTGTCGAAGCGCTCGTACTCGTACCACGTACCCAGGTACTGGAGGGGAAGAGGGGGAAGGGGGGGGGGGGTGATTAATGTAAAGTACGTGAGGGAAATGAGTCAAAAATGTTGTGATGAGTTAGGGAAGGGAGGAAGATATGGAGGAGAGGCTGGAGTGATATGTGATGTTGTGATGTACTTGTTACAGCACAGCGGTTTTGACAGTGACTGGCGCTGAGAGTAAGCTAAATGGTGGGCACTGGTGCTGTTATGTCATTGTTTATTTTTTGTTGTGATGCTGATTTTGACCGTTTTTTTGTGGTCGGTTTGATTGCTGCTGCTGACTCTGAAGTGATGATTGCGAGAGCCAGGAAGAGACAGGTACTAAGAACAATAGAGAAGAATAGAGACGGAAATGGATATGGAAATCATAAAGGCAATTCAGTATAAGAAAGATTATATTTCCCAATCAACAGACTTGCAAATTAATTATATCATTAGCACTGCAAGTCTACCACTAAAACGAAACAGATAGAGCAGACCACATAAAGTGCCCTACAATCAGAGACAAATCTAACAATATTACAGACCCACAATTGCGCTTAATACACACAGAACAAAAACATGCCACATATTATTATGTTGCTAGTTGCCACATACCCGACTGGGGTCAAAAGCAGCCTGAGTCCCCGTAGCAGGACATCTTCCCGGACGGAGGACGACCCCTTGGGCTGCTGCAGACGACAGAAGAGTGGAGAGTAGCACCAGCACTGCAGACGTCACGGCGCTTGTCAGTTTCAAGGAAGACATCGTGGGGAAGATTTACTTGGAGCTAGACACGAGAACAATGTGCTCAGAGATAGTTCTTTCTTCTTGGGCTGTTGTAGTTACTTTCGTGAAAAGCGGAGACGGTGTGGTAAAACGAGAAAGGTTGTTCTGTTTCTGAGTTGTTTCTGCTTGATCACCAGAAGTCGGAGATGCTGTGTCTGTGGAGTCGCCGAGTTTATATAGCGCTCAAGACGTGATGACGCTTGGCGCAATTTACGTAAAAGTCGCGCCATTGTTTTTTCCAATGGCGTAGAAATCCTTGAACCGAAGAGAATCCTTGCTTAAACTGTATCCGCCGTTCATTCACCAAAATTCTAAAAATAGCAGGATCTCTCAAAACACAGGTATGTCCCTTGGTGGGGATGACCTGCCTGACGTCACCACCGAGCACGGAGCGTCACAACAGGGAGCAAAGGTCACAATAATATGTCATAATTTGCCTCTCGTTTGCTGCGTTGTTGGGGATATTTTTCTGGTCTTCTGCGAGAAACTGTTTTCTTTTATTGTCTTATAGTTCCAGTTTTCTTTAGCCCCCCCCC